AAGGACTAGGTAGGTAGGTATTGTCCATTAATAATAGTTATTTCTGTTCTTATGTCGACATGATATATCCCGGTTAGCTTTTAAATAAAAGATACCACAGAGTCTGACACATATGTTTCATATTCAGATATTTCAGGTATTTTAAATGGAAAAGACATTAATGGTAATCTAACAACAAATCTTTATGATAAACGTGATGACTTGAACTTTACAATCGTCAACAACTTCCCTTACTTACAATGTATGCAGCAATATGCCTTGAAGTTCATCGCCTGCTTACGAAATTTATATATCTCAGTTGATTCGATACGCAAGAGCATGTTCTACGTTTAAACAATTTCTAAAACGAGGTAATTCATCGATAAACAAGTTGATGAGGCAAGAATATCAGGAGTCGAAGACGTCAGCAAATACAATTTATCATTAAGTCAAATGCTGACTGACTTTTTTTTCATACTAATTGTTAGTCCATTATTTATATACACTGAATCGACGACGATTTTGCCCCGTGGGGATCCGGGTTAGAATAGGTCCTCAGTACCCCTTGCTTGTCGTAAAAGGCGACTAAATGGGGCGGTCCTTCGGATGAGACTGTATAAACGAGGCCCCGTGTCACAGCAGGTGTGGCACGATAAAGATCCCTCCCTGCTCAAAGGCCCTGAGTGCCGAGCATAGGCCTAAATTTGCAGCCCTTCACCGGCAATGGTGACGTCTCCATATCAGTGAAATATTCTGGAGAGGGACGTTAAACAGTATATAATCAATCAATCAATCGACGACGAGTTTTCCGTTATTTTCTGACACAGCCTTTCTTCTGTTTCCAGATTTAAATTATACTACAAGCTGAATTGTTCAGAACCAACTAATTCAATATTTGACCTGTCAATTGAGAAAATAAATCTGAGAAATTAGATTTATATACACTAGGAAAATCAAGAAAACGGTACCAAGCACCCTAAATGTACGTATTAAAGTAAGTAACCCAAACGACATTCCTTCGTGATTTTCGGGAAATGACCAAACATAGAGTGGAACAATGCCATGTTCCTGTCGTTCTTGTCGTATGGAGTTTATCGGATTGACTAAAATGCATCTAATGAAATCGTAAAAATTGCAACATGTCTCTAATGGAATGGAAACAATCTCATTACCACGGCGCTCTGAGGGGTCATTTGATGGCACTAGCCACTGCGTGTGATGATCTGTCACAGAAAAGGATACTGGACAGAAAATATTCACCCGTTATTCCGGTGGCGACCAGGACGCTAATTGTTTGTCCGCAGTAACAGCAGCCGACATTGATTGCCAGTCGTCTGCCTGCTGAAGATAAAAAGGGCGCGGGCGGGAAAATTATTCACTACTTAAAATTTATCATACTTTGTAATGTTCTCTGTTCGTTTAGAATGTGTAACCACTACGAAACATAACTCGATATGATTAATATAAAACGGCAGAGAAAGGACAGAGAGATTCCAGGAATTAAGCGCTTATTGCCCAAAGCCATACAAGTTTCAGGGATCATTGTCAATCGATGCCTGTCAATTTGCTGGTTTATTTGATTTTAACACTTTTTGAATGTCGTGGAAATTGCTGTTTGCGCACGCATTAAACATATCTAACACCGAAAGAAACGGGGAATCTGGACAACTTTTTTTTCTACTTTTGTTGTAAAAAACGAAGAGGCAATATCAAAGGTAAGTATAATTTTAATCAATTCATTTAAACCAGCTCATTGGATGTTTAATTCAACAAGTTGTGTTATTTAAATAAAAAATTAATCATACTTTTTTTTTCCATAAACGTATTCATTGTTACTTAATTTTTGTGAGTATGTGTGCTTTTGTGTTATAAACGTGAAGAACGAATTCAAATGAAAATCATGCGCACGTTGTTCTTATTAGAAAAGTTGTCGATATTGAGAATGACAAAACAAAGAAATCTTAGTTTAATGTGACCGAGTATTTTCTATACATGAAATCATAATCGCACAATTATAGAACTTTTAATACCCTGATGCAGCAAAAGCCAATTGTGATAACCATATACCATTTCTTTATCAGGATATCTAGTTTCATGTACATAAAATTATAGTTTTTAAGTCATTTTTTGGTCTTATGACAAACAAATGTCTGGAGAAGCATTTATTTTTTTATTCCTTTATTTCCCGATCATGACAAGAAGCACACTGCTGGTATGACTGGTCAGCAGGGGATGTTCTCTTCTCCATTGCACCTGATCCCACCTCTGATGTTTTGGAGGTCCATGTTTGCTCTGCTTCATTTTTTTATTGTTAAATGGACTTTTGAGCCTGTATATTGTTTGTAATCTCCGTATATTTTACTTAAGTTCTCTCTGTATTTAATTTTTTATGTAAGAAATTTAAACGGGAAAAACTTAGAGTATGAAAATAAAACATAGTAAAAATACTACAACCATCAATAGATACAAACTATGATAAACACATTTCGTGAGATGAATACATACAGCAATGAAAGACGGAAAATTATGAATGAGAGTCCAGAAGTTTACGATCATGGCCAAATTACTAAACAAACATATAAGTTCTGTCTGAATCAGTCATCTATATTCCTTTTTATCCTATTTCTCGTCAACTTGATCAACTGATTTGCAGTTGATGAATTTTGGGATACTAGTAAATAAATCATTATATGTTTTTACGAAGGATAAACTACATAGATAACTTCTATATTAAGTCATAGCTCTTTGGAGTCTGTCTGACTTATCCTTGGTTTGTTTTCTATCCTATGGATTATTTCTGTATTAATCATTTACACTAAATGTATTTAACTACCAGCAGAACATTAATGGGACCCTATGGAATGATTTCATCGTATTTAGAGATATGAGCAAAACTAAATGTCGATGCTTCATTGTCGTAAATTCTGGATTTTTTCCCGTTTATATGAGCACTGTGTTCTTAGAGCTTTAAAAGGGGTTACTTTGAGGCACGGTGTAATAGGGAACTTTTTAGCATTTTTATGGTTTGTTTGACCGAGAGGTTTTATAGAAGATGTCATTTTTCATCAATCATACGAAGATTAAACGCCAAAGAATAGGCGGAAGAAAGCCTTACATAGTTTAGAGAGCACCGGATACAATTCATGAACTTATCCAAAAGCAGTGAATTCATTGATCTGAGTTACGGGCCAAAATGGATTCAGTGACAACTGTTAAAATAGCCATTTTCTTTTTGTCTCTGGGGACAAACAATGTCTGGCGTTTCAGTTAGACAGGACATTGGCACAAATTCTGAATAAATTTGTCTTTAGAATTACGTAGCAAACTAAGATTGAGGGTTTAAATAATAAAGATTGAAACTGGTCTCTCTCTGTCCTCTATCCAACAAGCATTCTCAATGTATAGCAGGCAGTAGCAATCCTAGTTCCCTGTTAGATTGGTTATCATTAAAATTTGAAAATATCATAATAAAAAAAACAAAAACAAACAAAACTTAAATATGATCTATGACTCTTCAAGGTGATCTCACATATTAAAATCATTTCAGTATCTTCGAGCGTTTATGGAAAATGCGGAAACCACCTAAAAATGATATGCAAACCTGTTTGTTACTCTTCAAGATACACTCAACTACTAAACATCAGTTCAATTTCTGCAGCCATTTTGAAAAAAAAGAGAGTGGAAGTACACTTTCGAGTTAGGGGACTAAATAAGATACGGAGATATCAAACAGACATTATTCAAGCTTAAAAGTCCATTCAAGCACAAGAGCAGAGCAAACATAGACCTAAAAAACATCTCAGAGTTGGATCAGATGCCATGAAGGAATGAGCATCTTCTCTCGATCGGTTACCTCAATCGTGTGCTCTTTCACGTCAGGTAAAGGGAAAAATCTGCAGACATTTTATGTATTTAGAAGTTGGTCTTACATGACCAACATGACATGATATACCCCGTTGAGCTTGAAATAAAAAATACCTGATAGTCTGACTCATCTATTTTATTTTTTTTTTATATTTTACCAGAGAAAGGCGTTAATGGTAATCTAATAAACAAGCTTAATGATAAACGTGATGACTTGACCTTTTCAATACTCAACTTTCCTTACTTATGGAGTGCTCAATATATCCATATCACCTGCAAATGGAGTTTATAACACTCGGTTGATTCGATACGCAAGAGATGCTCTACGTATGAACAATTTCTAAGTAAGATATTGACAAACAAATTGATGAAAGAAGAATATCAGCAGTCTCTTTCAAAGTCATTTTTTCGTTAGTTCTATGGTCGATACGACCTTTTCAGCAATTACAATCTATCATTATGCCTGATGCTGACTGACGTTTTCACCCTCATTGTTAGTCCATTATTTACACACTGAATTGTCGACAGATTTTACTGTTATTTCCCGATCAAGGAGCACATCGGGGTGTGACCGGTCAGCAGGGGATACTTACTACTTTTTTGCACCTGATCCCACCTTTAATGTTTTGGAGGTCCGTGTTTGCTCTTCTCCTGATTTGTATTGTTTAATTGCCTTTTGCGTATTGTTAGTTATCTCCATATATGTCATTTCTATTTGTTTCAATATTCCCAATGTAATACCTTTATATAAAAGTTGTTTTTTTAAATATCTGTATTATGTTTTAATACCCTAAAAAATAAAGGTATGGGCTTAACTTTATACAATCAATAATGCCCCCAGTCTACCAAAAAAACAAAAACAAGTAAGAATGTCGAAGTTTGGCATGTGTAATTAATGTAGAAGAAACTACTCTCTCTCTCTCTCTCTCTCTCTCTCTCTCTCTCTCTCTCTCTCTCTCTCCTCGGGATATTCTAAATTACGGATGGTATATTAGTAGAAGGAATAGTGACTAAAAACTCTTCATATTGAATTTCGGGAGGGTTAAAGTAATATCGTTGAATTGGCTATTTCCCGTAACATTTTTTTTACTATTACGCAAAAAGATAGAGTCCACGATATTCAGAGAATTATGTAACAATTTCAGATGATGAATGCTGTTCAAATATTTGATCTTCTGAGAGAAGTCGCCCCTAGACGATCATTAAGTAAATTGTACCAATTTATTTGTGTTGTGAATCCAATGTCATCTCGTGGCCGGCGGACTTGGTATCAGATTTTGGAGGGTCTGTTCCAGGGCTGGATGATTCAAATTACATCTGTTATGTTGCCGGGAAAAATCAAGACGAAATGAAAGAGATTGAAATCGATAGAGTTCTAATGGTCTGTTACACGCTGTTTAACGGAACCACTATTACTACGGCTTTTAAAGACCGAATAGTGAATCCATTGCTGATATTGCAACGAGAAGTATGTCGAAAAGCCCCAGAGTAGGATGCCAACATCTTATACAATACGTCAAATTTCATATTGCATAAAAAGTGATGACTTTCTAACGTTTGCTTTTATAAAGTTCTTACAAAGAACTTACATACATCACTTCAAACTAAGATTTTCATCTGGTTAAAATAAAACTGAATAAAATTTTAGAAAAATTAATAGGTTATTTAATTGAAATCTTTAAGGTGTGGTGAGCAGTATCGCCAACACTTCTTAATCATAGGAACCTGTTGAATTATATCGTAGCTTATTTGGCTTTTGAAAAATATGCAGAGCATCATAATTGCATCTTTCCTCCCTTTTTCCCATATTTTTTTATTTATACAAAATTTTATTCACATACAGTGAATGGGATCGGGCAGCAGGCAAAGCCTATTTTAGCCCTCTCCCTACAAGGTCAAGATGAACACACACACACACTCTATAGGTATAAAAATAAATAGACAAACATAGTAACAAAGAAACAAAAGAAACAAGCAAATTCAAAGAATTGTTGTCCCGCCTTTCGGTGTCTTTGTGGGTGGGATGTCATTTTTTATGACATACTGTGTCAAATCTTGTCAAAGGTACAGTAAAACTCGGTTATAACGAAGTCGCCGGGACCTAGGAAATTACTTCGCTATATCCGTAATTCGTTATAACTGTATTAGAAATTCATTAAATTTATATAGCTGGGTATCCAAGATAACTTCGCTATAACCGTGAATTCGCAATAACCGTGTTCATACTAAACAAGTTTTACTGTAATGCACATGTCAGATATGAAAGCCCTATCTCTTCTCAGTCAAAAGTTGTAAGGAAGTGAACCTGATGACCCCGTATGACAAAATAGATTATATATATTGGTAGTTTCTTAAGAAAAGTCTTGCCACAAGTATTACATATGTGAAGTATGAAAGCCCTGGCCCGAACCGTTCAAAAGTTATGGCCAAGGTTAAATTTTTTTTAAAAAGTAGGTCAAACTCCAAGGTCAAGGTCAAAGGGTCAAAGTTCTTGGTATCCAATGAAAGGTCTTTTCACAATGATTACATATTTGAAGTATGAAAGCCCTAGCTCTTACCATTCAAAAGTTATGGCCAAGGTTAAAGTTTTTTCATAAGTATGGAAATCTCCAAGGTCAAGGTCAAAAGGTCAAAGTTGTTGGTATTCATTGAAAGGTTTTGCCACAAAGAATACATATGTGAAATATGAAAGTCCTAGTATCTACCGTTCAAAAGTTATGGCCAAAGTAAAAGTTTGGATTTTTTGTGTAAAAGTAGGTCAAACTCCAAGGTCAATGTCAAAAGGTCAAATTTGGTGGTACCCAAAGAAAGGTCTTGTTACTAGGAATACACATGTGAAATATGAATGTCATAGCTCCACTAAATCAAAAGTTATGAGCAAGGTTAAAGTTTTTGTGACGGACAGATAGACTGACTGACTGACAGACGAATGAGATTTAATGTCCCCTTGCTTTCGCGAAAGCGGGGGACAAAAAAGAGTAGAGGGAGAATAAAATACAATGTAGTACCGGTTAGAAAGTGTTGGCATAAGTAACATACATGACAGTGTCGAATAAATCGTTTGGTTGCTGCGATGAAAGCATGTACTGCTTCAAATATTTGAATATTTATACCTTGTCCATGATTGGGACTACCATACAAAAATAAATCAAGTTCATGAATTTGATCACAATCAATAATATTTTGAATTGTTTGGAAAAGTACATTTCTTGGAGAGGTATATTTTGGACAAGCAAAAAAATAATGATGAGCATCTTCAACAGAGTCAATACAGTATTCACACATTGGTGTTTCTGATATAAACTGGTTATATAAGACTGCCTTTAAATTACTTGCATTATTTCGCAATTGACAATGTATTATATTATGCATTCTTATTCCAAAATGATAAATATCTTTTAACTTAAAAAAAAATAAGAATTTAAAAGACCTTTGAATGAAGATATTCCAGGAGCATTTCTGATATAATCAGGCAAGTTATTGCACAGTTTAACAGTTGATGGAAAGAAACGTTCCATATAAGATGTAGTTCTAATATAATAGAAGGAATTTTGAATTCTGCATCATTATTTCTAAGATTATAGGGGTGGTTTGTAAAACGAAAAGGTTCAATCAAGTCATTTAAATATATAGGTGAATAGCCATTTATGATTTTATAAAATAGTAGCAATTTATGAATATTCCTCCTAGTTTGTAAAAGATCTCACCCGAATTCGTCATACAATTTTGATCTAGAGGAATTTGATCTTAAACCAGTAATGATTCTACCTGATTCTACCTGCTTCTACCTGGATATCTTCTAAAAGTTTTGCATCTTTTTCAGAACAATTGTCCTAGACAACGTAAGAATATTATAAAACAGGTCTAATAAATGCAAGATATATCTTTATAAGTATTTTCCTTTTCACTTTATACTTAAGCATTCTGAGGATATTTAGTCTTTTTGTAGCTTTTTCATGAATTAATTGTATATGCGATGTCCAGGTAGCATCAATTTGAAAATGTAATCCTATGTGGGTATGAGATGCATTTTGAATAAGGGATGGGCCATGTTCACCAAATATAATGGGCGAATATTTTATGTTTTTCGGGTGAAATCAACATTTACAGTTTTGTTTGGATTATCTTCTGTGACATAAGATTAAATGCCCCTCTGCTAACCGATACAGTTTCTCCTTAAAATAATAGATGAAAAATTTCCTGAAAAAAATCTTTAATTCTGCTGATCACTTTTTTATTAGGTAATCAGTACATGTATATTGTTTAATGGTAGAGAAAATGGAATATTACTTATTTTAATTTACACTTTTTATGTCGACGCCTTAATGCCTTTGTCAATGCAATAAAAAGGGAAAAGTTTTGTAACCTTTCAGAGGAAAATATAAAACAAAATAAAACAAGGAAACAATACCTGAAGGCAAAAAAGCTAAAAAGGGTACAGTATAAGCTATCACAGTATCATTGGAGTCTGCTCATTAACAATACTTTATTCATTAAATTCTGAAAAAAGGTATGCTTTTACATTAACAGTGTCGTTTATCCAAGAATTTAATTTTTGAATTGACCTTTAATGAGAGCTGTTTTCTCTTTACAGGAGTAGGATGGCGGGTTTGACGAAGCTTGTAGTTTCCTTGTTTAGTTACCTCCTGATGCTCAATCAAAGACTCGCTACTTCCAGTGAACTCTGTAAATCTATCTGTTCGTGTGTCATTGTTAAGAATACAAATAACCTGAGTACAGAGGCTATCGAGGTCAACTGTCAAGGTAACGGCCTTGAAACATTTCCCAACTTGACCGAATACAAAGATGTGGTGATAAAACGTTTGGATTTAGGAAATAATTCATTCTCAAAACTTAGAGTCAGTCCTGATTTCTTTGATGGTGCTGTAATTCAAGAATTGAATTTGGACAACAATCTATTTTCAAAAATAGAAAATAATGCATTCAGTAACATAAAGGAACTCAAAAAATTGACCTTGAGCAATTGTGGCCTTGGATCAGCTGATTTGACCTTTCTACGAAACATTCCAAAAGTATCATATTTATCTCTAAGGTCAAATAGAATACAAGAGCTTAAAGATTCCAGTGGGTTCGAGGGGTCGCCGATAGAAGAACTCGATCTTAGTTACAATCCCAGTATCATTATTCATATAGAAGTTTTAAAAGTTTTAGCACCGACCTTGACCCACCTACGTATGGATTACACCAATGTAGACATTTCTAATGTTCAGTTTTTAGATGGATTAGGTAAACTGAAGTTATTTTCAATGGAAGGTGCTCGTTCCTCAAAGTATAACAGCATTCAACAGAAAGCATTCTATAACCTAAGTCTATCGAGTCTGGAATCGCTTACATTGTCCAAGTCTGGATTGAAGGTCGTATTTCGAAAAGCCTTTGATGGACTTGACGGGTTGAAGTATCTGGACCTTTCTGGAAACGAATTGAATAACCAAGTCTTTGGCGCTACGGGTACCATACCTAGTCTAGAAGTGCTGAAATTATCATACAATCCAAGTATACAATCCATATTGAAAATCCCTAACAGGAGTTTGACGGAGCTACACATGGAAGGAACAGGGGTGAATCTCATTTCTTATGACGCGTTCCGTCTGATAGGGGACTCTCTTGTCACCCTTAACCTTCGATCTTGTCAACTTCCACCAGAAGGTATGTTTCTCGTGGATGCATTCAGGGCACTTAGGTCGCTGAGAAAATTGGACATATCTTATAATTACTTGAAGGAAATATTCAATGAAACATTCGATGAAATGAATAAACTTGAGGAACTTGATTTAAGTGGAAATATTATGAAGTTTAGTAAAACTGACTTCAGTGGTATTGAGGAATCATTGAAAACTCTTAAATTACAAAACATGACATTAACAGTTCTACCATTAGAAGCACTGGCCTCTTTAGAAAATTTGGAAGAACTGGATGCCCCATTCAACAATTTTACAAATATCTCCAAGAATTTTTTTGGAAGCTTATCTGTGAAAAAATTGAATTTGACAAGTTGTAACATTTCTGAAATCCACGTGGAAGCATTTGCCCGATTTAATAAAACCAATGTAATTTTGGATGATAACAATATTACCAGTATTGACTTTCTTAGCTTTTTATCCCACAATACATTTCGAACATTAACCATGCGTAATAATAAAATCAACTGTAGCACGCTCAATCAAGTTCACATGGTAGTTTTCGAAAACTTAGAAGGTCATTGTGTCATTGGGAATCATTCGAAACAACTCAGTGTATACTTTACTGAACAACTCAACATGAGAGCAATCAGTTCTTGTTGTAAAACTGAATGGAGCCACCTCGTGATTTTTACCATTGTAGCAATTAGAATATTCAGAGAGCGAGTTTTTTTGTAAATCAAAACCTGCTAATTCTCATGATACATGAAATGCATTTCCAAACATAGATTGAAAAATGGCATTTTTATCCAGATTATTTTTTCGTGCGTATTTGTATATGATAAGAAGAAACATTTGTCTTGGTGCTTTTAAAATGTGTAGAAATATTATTGACAAAGATTTTGAGAAGAATTTAATCAATATTTTACAATACGGTTTTTAAATTATATTCAGATTTTGTCTTCATTTATTAAAAAAGGTCCTTTTAAGATTATTTTTTGCATTTGTGTCGAATTAAACTTTTTTAATAATCAGTTCATTTCTTAGAATATTTCGTAAGGATTTTTCTGTTTGAATTGCGGGGTTTATTGGTGTGTAAAACACATACACGTACGCCTATTTCAAGAAGCGTGCTAGTGCTTTATGAAAATTATATAAAATATACTTTCATGCCAATGCAAGTCAGAAAATATTCAAAAATAAAACAAATCTCTATTTTTTTTTACATTACAAGGCTTTAAAAAGAAACAAATATACAACCAGTACTTGTATTGGCCATATTGTAATGTCACAATAACAGTGTTTTAAGCTTGAATCTTAAGGTTTTGAAAGATTAGTCTCATAAAGATCTTGTTCTACAACGGTGTGTGCAAACAAGTTGTCGCACGGTTTGCAAATATGGTGATATACAATTTTCTTTTCTTGCAGATACGGTAATTTTTTTGTATATATATTTTTTTAAAATAGTAAATGTAGAAATTCTAATGTCAACATTTCTATTCTGTATTGTATCATATAAATTCTGATATGTTTTTGACAAAATTATGCATCCCTCGTTTTGTAAAATATGACTTGCCTTCTTTCGCTGGACTTGTTTTTCACAGTGCTGTGTTGCTATCATGAACCTATTGATTTTTCTTAAATGATACCAGATTTTATCAATTGTAGGCTCTTCTGTTTATCTTATATTTCTTTCTTTATAAATCTTAAGTACTGAAAAACTTTGGCAAGAAGAGGGTTGATTCGATTTTTTTAATTTTCTTGTCAGATTTTTTTTTGGAAGTTGGTCTCCCACTTTTCGCTACGGCCAGGTATCTTTTTAAAAAAGATCGGTCTTTGCATCCATTCTGCACTTTTGAATTGCGGTCAAGAAGATAGATCCATCTTTGTGATGCTATCTGAAAGTGTGTGTCTTTCAGATGAAAGCTTAAATCTGAGGTCCCGTGTCATGGCAGGCGTTGGCACGATATAGATCCTTTACTGTTCAATGGCCCTGAGTGCCGAGTAAGGGCCTTAATTTGAAGTCCAGCCCATTACTTGTATATGTTGACGTCTCTACTTGAATGAAAAATTCTCGGATGGGACGTAAAACAACATACAATCAATCAACAATCTCTGTTTCTTCCGATAATTTTTCGGTACATCTATTGTCTGATCATGCGTATTTCCGGGCTCCTCTCAGCTCTATGTCTAATTGTCTGTACTGTTCATTTAGTTTGATACTTTTTGCATTGGTTCGTTAATTGTCCTGAATACAATTCTGAAATCTATTCCCTATCTTATCTCAGTCGATCTAGAAGAATCTCAATAATATATATATATATTACAGATGTGTCAGACTCTATGGTATCTTTTAATTCAAGCTCACCGAGATCGTGTCCACATAAGAATGGAAATAACCATTATTAATTGCCGATACGTTCTCGATGTATCTAGATGTCGAGTTGAAGACCATAACAAATGTTTCCTTCTTTTCACGTTTAAGATTTTGGACATACATGTATTCTGCTTCATATGAAGACAAAAATAGGTCTGCATTTTAGGTTTGCAATAGGTCTGCAATTTGTGCATTTTCCAATGTTTAAACAAATCTGTTCCTAATCACGTAGGCTTTTCTGATTTTAACTTTTGATAATGTCGAGGAGCTGGGCAAATTGGGCAAATTGAGCCCAGCATAATTCCGTGGTCACGTCTGACAATCCCTCTTTTTCTTGCACCTACTACCTCGTCCTTTGAAGATTGAATACAGAAGGTTTCTTTTCCTTCTCACCAGTCTGCGTTTAAGCAGTGCAAATAATATAGTGGTAGATAATCATATGCTGAGTTGTATCTCGCCGTGATTAATCTTGATTAGGTTTCCAGTAAACTATTGTTTTATCATGCCGATATGATGCCTTTACCTCCGCTTTTCTCCTAAATCGAGAATGTTGTGTTCGGGTGATGACTACATTGTACCAATGTATGTCCATTTTGCTTCTATGCTTCCAAGAAACGTGAAGTGGTACGGAGTGTATCAATTCTTTGCCAGTCTGGTAGAGGGCCTCATTCCAAAAGCCAACTATAAGTACCTGCCGTCGAGTTGTCAGTTTACTGCTTGGTTTGACTGACAACCTTCCTTCTTTGACTATCCTAGGATGCAAATACCCTCTCCAGTAACTACTTTTACCGTTTGAGGTTTTTTTAAGTTTACTTAATTCTACACAAAAGGGATGCTCTACAACTGTAGAGACATACATGTACATGTATTTACAACGAAAAGAACGAATGGAAGACTTTCGAAACAAGTCTACGTGATCTTAACCATGGAATTGACAATTTTCCGCAACTTGGTCTGCATTGTTACGCGTAGATTCCACGATATTCTGAAAAAATTACGTAACAATTAAGCTGATATGATGAACGCTATTCAAATATTTGATCTTTTCAAAAAAATTCCCCCTAGACAATCATTAAGTAAATCATATCATTTTATTTGTTCTGTGAATCCAATGTCATCTCCTCGTCGGCAGACTCAGTATCAGCTTTTTGAGAGCTCGTATCATAGGCTACGGCTAGTTTGAATCAAATTAATTGTGAGACGAAATGAAAAGCAATATGGTCGATGAACCATTTACAATATGGCTTTTTTAAACCGTATAATAAAGTCATTGCTGATCATGAATATTGACAAGCTCTGGGGGAAAAAAACAGCAACTTTTTACAGAATTATGAGAATAGAAATCAAGTTCCAAACTGAACCATTGTAAGTAGAATTTCCCCATTTTTGATTTAAACATATTTTATTGATTCACAATCAATAGGACTGAAAACAGTTTGGCATTCTATACATCCTAGATTAAATACAAAGAAACAAAATTTAATGTACAATTAAATAAAAAGAATTAAATCACAATAAATGAAAGAATTTTTTTTATTTTTTAGATTGAATGGTGATGTTTCCCGATTCTAATAAAAGACATTGTACGTATACACACTTAACATTACATTTTGCGTTAATATTACTTTTACAAAAACGCTACTTTTCCTTAAACCAAAACATACAATTTTTGTGCTTCTAAGGCCGGCTAATTCATCGCATTGACCTCAAAACAGCTAATAGTATAGTAATACTAGAACGACCAATATTCTAGGTCAGGAACTTTTTAAAATAATTCCTACCTCGTGTAATACCAGGTATTAAATCAGTTGAAATTGATTTTTATATTAGAACTTTGTATAACAAATCCCATCTGTAACCAAAAAGCAAAAAATGTTTCCACATTAAGTTTTGATATTGCTTGTCAATATAAAAATGCAGCGCAGATAATGCTTAGAGCAGAACAAGATTTAAATACTTGTATTAAAAGAAAAAAATCACGTTCGCTTCGTGGGGATTTCCATTAAAATGAAAGAAATGAAAGCATTATGAATGAAATATGATTTACAAAGTTAACTTAAAAAAAAATTATAGGTCGTATAGAAAAATACCTTCATGTGGGGTTTTAGTTAAACGGGGTCAATTTATTTTTTTTTTAATCTAAATATAGCTATCTCTAAAAGGCACAAGGAAGAATATTGGGTATTCCGTAACTTCCGGGTTATTAAAGGAGGAAATTGTTGTGTTTTAATGAGTGTATTAACGTGATTTAACTTGTTATCAGTATCTGAATCTAGTAATAACTCTGTAGAAATGTGCTTGTACCATAACTCAAGGAAAGTATCACAGTTTTAAGACAGTGAAATCCTGGACATGGCTGAGGAGGGAGCCACCCCGGTCCCGGTGGGGACGACCATGCAGAACTGGCTGGCCGGGACCATTGTGGGTACCATGGCTGTCATTGTCCTGTCCATCTTCATCCCCGGCTGGATCGTCTTCACAGACATCAACTCAAGCGTATGTTACCATGTATACGGTATCCTTAAAGTCATCGTTTTCCCATTATAGCTTATGTAGTCTTGAAGGTAGTTTCCCTACTTTTATGCACTAAAATATCAGTCTTTCTTCTGTCAAGTTTCTGTTTTAAGTCAGAGTTTTGTTTAACATCTAAGACTAGGCCAGTCTCTAAATTGTCCATACTTTCTTAAAGTAATATAGCCCTGCAAGAGCTCACTGCTTAAACTTTTAAAAAAGTCAAATTTCTAAAGTCTCATGAGAGATTCTGTGTGATTTTTAGCTGAGCGTGTCCGCCAGTATCTATTACTGGATGGTGTGTGGTGCTAGAAACACTAGCTGTGGGGCCCACGGAGTTGGTCAACCAGAGGCCTACATGTACATCGAGAAAACAAACGGTAAGATGGAACATTTATTTACACTGAAAGTCTGAGGGGGATTTCGGAAATAAATAATATGCCCTTCTCTCGGAAGGAATGGGTAATATTACCGTGATAGGTGGTTACTCTCCCCCACCCCCAAGATTGGAAAATTGATAGCATATTCAAAATGTCAGTAAATCAACGTCGTAGCAGTCTTTATACATGGAAAACTGACTGGCAGAACATAGTACTGTTGGTCCTATTAGTGATTCTTAAGGGTAGCATCATCTGCTGTCACTCTTCAATGAAGAGAGTTGTTTTCCAGAGAAAGTTATTCTTAAAAAATTAGCTGGGACTTAACAGTTTATTTTATATTATTGAACATTGCAGCAACTCCAGACACGACTCTCCTGCTGGTATCAGTGGACATGATTATCTGTATTATGTGCGCGGTAATCGTTCTGGGCGATATGGCGGGAAATCAGCCCAAAACCACGTGGTGGAACAATCTCAAGCTAGCCATTCTCATATTTATCATTTGTAAGTGTTTGAACTTCCTTGCCGATTTTTTTCATGATTATTTCCTGATTTTCATACACAATTATTAATTATATATACTACAACACAAGTTTTATCGGAGATAAAAAAAAGACTTGCAGGCCTGCAATTGCTTGTGCATAATATCACTGGTTAACGTTTCCTTTGCAGTCGTACTTAACCTAGTTATTCTAGGTTTGTTCGGACACAGCAGTATAACCCTGTCTGCGGAGCCCTCGCTGGTGGTCAATGTACCCTATTCCCTGTTTATCTTATCCCTGGCCGTGCTGCTAGCGCTCCTGGAGTTCTGTTTTCTGATCTACATTCATCGCGTCTCCACGGCCCCATACAGGACAGTCCCCAGCACTTCTATAGAGGAAGAAGACCAGCCCAGCACTAGCCAGCCGTCCATCAACAGACCATGTTAACTAACAGGGGCATGTGCTGATGCACAACTAGATCTAATATTGGCTTACTTCATATTTGTATGTCTTGTAAAGAGACTTGAATCTCATTTGATTAAATGAAGAGTTGTTTGTGTATTTGTGTTGCCTTATGTGCCATGGCAGACCCATAAGATGCATTTGTTTGGTTGATTTCTTTATTTTTCTTGCACAATCTGTTAAAAATTACATCAGAGAACAACATATGTTACCTTGATGAAAAGTAGTATTTTGTACAATATTCTTGTTTTATTTTAAAAGTTTAACCTTAAATAAGGACTACCAGAATAGGGATATCCACCTGGTATCAAAGTCTGAAACCATGATACTATTATTCCATCTATGAAGAATAAACTGCATGTACAAACATTTCCTTGTTAAATAAAATAAATAAATTGCACATAATCCAATTTTTTACTTGTATTTTTTTTTGTACATGTATTAAGAAGACGAAACAATATCAGCACCATTTATTTTTTATTTTACATTATTTACAACAAATCAGTAAAATAAATGCCATATCTATGCATGTTTCCTTATTTACATATTTTCTGTATTTTAATGTACTTGTATGTACACCTTTATTTCACAAATTTTAATAAATAATTATTTTATAAAATATAATGAATCTTTTACAACAAATGTGCAGATCTAATAGAAACAAATTTTACTGTGAGGAGTGTTTAACTTTTCAATGAATCCATGACAAGCAAAAGTAGGCAAAACTATACCTGCACACACCCATGAATCTATATAATGTCAAACCCTGCATACTTTGAGTAAGAAGAATGTGCTTATCAGAGATGAAATGAAATGTTCTGATGAAAGAAATTCCACACATGACAGCTCTTTAAAATTAATGTACTTTTCTGTATCAAATTTTTGTTCTATTTTTGGGGAGGTTTAACAAAGCCAGCGAGTGGAGGAGGACCAAAACTAGCAGGCTGGGGAGGGGGGACAGAGTTCATTCCTGGGTTCATGTAGGGGGATGGCACTGAGCCCCTGGGGGGCATCATGTTAGAAGTCCTCATTGGCGGGGGGCCGTGTGAAGGAGGAGTCATCAGGTTGACCCCAACAGGCTGGTTGGAAGGAGGGGAGGGGTACTGTGACATGGGAGGGGGTCCCCGGGGTGGGGATGCTGCCGTGTTGTATAGCTTCACTGCCCCCTCCGGGCCAGGCATCTGGGGGGTCATTCCCTGAGGGGAGTACAGTTCCTTCAGGACCAATAATACTGTATCCTCTGACTCCCTGCAAAACAAAACAAAATTATTTTAATCTCCATTTTATCTGGCGATGATAGATTTTACAGAGTGCTCTGAATTCATATTCAAGTTTTGATTCTGCATTTTTTTCCACCGAGTCTTACCAATAACATCCATGACTAGACAGAGCGAACAGGTAATCATTAAAGCTTTCAATGGGGCGCTCCTGGAGGACGAAATCAATCCTGTGACCCTCGTTTAATTGCCCCATGTAGATATCTTCTTGTTGACTGGAGGCCACAGCTTTAAAATATAAATAAGTTATCCACTACTTGTATTGTGACTTCAAGGTTTAAGGTTCAACAGGATATGAGTGTGTATAGTATGTGTGCTACATATAAAATGACTATGATAGTGTATAAATGGTCTACATGTAAGTATATGTATATTATGATAAATTTGTCTACCCATATATGATGGTATAAATGTTTAATTATAAACTATGTACAGGTGTATACAATGTATGAGTGTACAAATAAAGTATACTGTTTATACACGTTTGTTTCAGTACAACTGTGTAGATACTGTTAGTACTGGAGATCCCTCTCTTACCCCAGAAAGAATACTCTACTGAAAGTTAAAATTACATCCAGTGTATACTGAAATGAATCAAGGCATAGCTAAATAATTTTTACACATTATAATCACGTAATTTTGAAGACATTTTGCTAAAACTTATTTTTGATTTTTTTGCATTCTAAGTCTGATTCAAAGTCTGAACTACAGATGGCACAGTCCTAGTTTAAGTAACCCTAGATCTCTTTGTAAGATAACCAATTTATATACATACATGACTGGTCATCATCCAGTTCCTGCATGACCGATGACATGTGACTGTCGACATGCTGCTCCAGTGATTCCTCCTGGTTACGGTGAGCTTTAGCGAACTCGTTAATCGTGTTCCACGTACTCTTCAGAGAATCAATGATCTTCTGTTTTATGTCAGCTCCCACTCTCGTCAAACTCTCCTTTAATTCTTTAAAATAAATGCATTCAATTAAAATGAATTTTGCAAAAGACCATCTGTAAAATTTTGTTAACTGATTACATATTAACCATTATAAATACATCTGATAAAAAAAAGTTGCTGTGTTGTTTTCTTTCATGATTCTTTAAAAGCTCAAGTAAAAACATCTATATTTAATCAGGAGTAAAAATTACCTAGATGAAGTCTTTTCCTGCCCTTGTGGTGGGGCATTAACACTAGTTTACATGAATTACCTAGATGAAGTCTTTTCCTGCCCTTGTGGTGGGGCATTAACACTAGTTTACATGACTTACCTAGATGAAGTCTTTTCCTGCCTTTGTGATGGGGCATTAACACTAGTTTACATGACTTACCTAGATGAAGTCTTTTCCTGCCTTTGTGATGGGGCATTATCACTAGTTTACATGACTTACCTAGATGAAGTCTTTTCCTGCCTTTGTGATGGGGCATTATCACTAGTTTACATGACTTACCTAGATGAAGTCTTTTCCTGCCCTTGTGATGGGGCATTAACACTAGTTTACATGACTTACCTAGATGAAGTCTTTTCCTGCCCTTGTGATGGGGCATTAACACTAGTTTACATGACATAAAATTGCTGGTTTTATATGAGAATGGTGAATCTGTAGGCCTATAAACAATATGTTCAAGTCATCATAAAATTGCAAGAAAGTGAAATCAATGTTACTTGTTAAACTCGCTCTATACAGTGTTTTAAAGTCTGTATTTTGTATAAGGTTATGTTTACTCACCACCGGATCAAACTGAAAAAAAGACAAAATAAGTATAAATTATATGAAGATAATTTGTCTCATCAAGATTTATAAAACTTAATAAAACTCCTATAAAAGTACACATTACTCTTCTAATATAATTATTATAGAAAATCTTAAAAATTTATTTCTCAGAAACCACCACACCAATTTCCCCCTTTTCTGTGCAAAATTTGCAGTTTTAGGTAAGGCAAACATAAACATGAATATGAACTGAAAATATATCTTATTACAATATACATTACATATATAGTAACAAATTTAAATTCATGTATCTGTATTGTAAAACTTTCAAGATTCCCTTTGATTCAAACAAATATGGTCACTCACTGGATGAAAGATGTTGAACACTCTGGGACATGTGGGTAGAGTGAATTCCTCCCCAATGTTATCCACACCCCTGGCAGAGAGAAAGATCCCGATAGGTGATCCTAGAGCGTACAGTGTGTTTGGTTTGAAGTCCAGTCTGGGGTACTTGACTGAGGGTTGTCCCGTCCCGGCGGGTCCTAACAGAAATTCCACAGACACACTGGAACTAGACTGGACAAGTGACCTGACAAATAAAGGGAGTACTGCATGACACTTCTACACAGAAAGTACAAAGATGCATACTTATATCTATGTCTATACACTTAATTGTAAACATCATAACTATATACATGATGAACACAAATTTTATCAATTTCAATATCTGAGATTAGGTTTCACAGGCAGGAAGCTAAACTCTATATTTGTGAAATCCTGTCCTAAATCTCACATATGTTCACTCTTTGTGGGTAGACACTGATACACTTTGGTTTACTTACCTCTCTTGTGAAGCCCTTGCTTCCCTCATTTCTGCTGCCACCTGTTCTCTGATCCTTCTCTCCTCTGACTCTTTAGTTTTCCTTTCCTTTTCATGTTTTCTTTTCTCCTGTCAATTTATAAACATTTTAAGAAGGATTTTCTTTCATATGAAAATGCATCAACAAGCTCTGATAATGAAGTAATAGGACAAATATATAGCTGCAGTGTACCTTTTTGGCCTGTTCCTCTTTTAGAATGCCCTGTAGTTTTTTCCTAGGACCCATGGGAAGTCCTAAATCTTTAAGATCACTCTCTGTACACATTGTCTGTAATCACAAACAAACACAGTATTAGTCAATATTTGTCTCACTTATGCATTCACTTATTGTGTATATGTAATTACAATTAATGACACTGAAGTCTGAGACCTTAAAAGGAATTGATACACTTGATAATGTTTTTCATAAACTGACCAATGCATCAAGATCGATTTGTTCCTGTTCAAACATGGACACTTTGTCCTGAAGGCCCACTCGACTGAGGAGTTTCTCCAGAGTTGTCTCCTCTTCCTCTACCTCTTCTGTCTCTGTTGTAAAGGAAGTCTGAAAACAACAGATAAGGGTTTTATGAAAGAAAAATAATGAAGTCAGCTTTAAGTATTTAAAATACATTTAGTTATTAAATTAATTGTCTTGAAATGCAGGTCACATATGAATCAAACAAACAACAATTGAGCAGTTAAAAGTTTTCTGAAATTGAAAAGTTTAGTTGAACTCATACCCAGGTACATGTATATATTTGGACATTTTTCTCTGATATTTTTTGCATGGAAAAATACTTCTTTCTTTTTTATCCAACCAACTGCAGGCCAATAGTCTCGCAATGATCTGTGTGGTATATACATGTATTACTTACATTTGCTGGAGCTGACATTTCCACTCCATTTGTCTGAGGCACGGGATCACTCGGTAAGGAAGGATTGGTCCTCTGGTCAGCTTTGTCATTCTGATGCATCAGTAAATCAAACAGCACACAGGAACCTACAAGGAAAACATTAGGTGAGAAGATGAACAATTGTTTCATGTGAGTTACAACTTACAGGGGAGATGGGGTTGGGGTTTCAAGATTTATAAACATTCACCCAGCTTGCCCTGCTATTGACAATATACCTTAGAACTGAGGGACTTTGAGGTTGGTGGGTGATGCGTTAAATTTTGCCTTGGCACCAATGCTGTTTCCTTGGCTCTGGGAGAGGGAGGGTTTCCATTTTATAGACACTTACCAAGACTATGCCCTACTACTAACAATGTACTTTAGAACTGAGGGGTGGGTGGTGGGCTAGACTTATAAACACCCACCCAGATTTTGCCTAGGCATTGATGTTGTTTCCTCCAATTTTGGAGGCAAAGAGCTACTTTTATTTTAGACACTTACCCAGACTATGGCCTGCTACTGACACTGTGCCCTGGAACTGAGGGTTTCTCTCCAGAAACAGCTGATGAAGCCTGTTCATTTCATTTCCTACTTGGTCTGCTATTGTCTGAGAGAAAAAAGGAAAAATCATGGAGAAACCACGTCAATTTTAAGATTTATTATTATTAAAAGTAATGAAAATCTTTTATTATTTTAATATTGCTTTTTATCATACTCCCAAACATTTACAATAGTGTAAACAAAATAAATCATTTTACTTGACAGTTTGGTCAATACCTGGCAGTATGTAGGACTCGTGTAGAACAGCACGTCCAGAAGTGTGTCATTAATGAAGTTACGTAATTTTGGTGTGCTGGGCAATGTTATGGCTTTTAATCTCCTACAACAATAAACATGGATGTTGTCATATTTTATAACAATCTTATAAAAAAATTGGCATTTTTATATATCATATACTGAACATGCATCAAATTAAAAATACATGTATGTATATTTTTTTTTTTAGATCAGTATGCCTTGATCAAAATCTACAGACAAATTATAGATCTACAGATCTACAGGAAAATAATCAAAGACACTACTGAGTGTAGTGACAGATATTGTACTTATTTCACCTGTTAGTGACTGATATCTTACTTATCCAGCCCGGTTGTATCCCCGTGTAATGCTGAGTGCCACTGTACTGGGATAAATTCCACTCGACCAATCCGCTTTTGGTCCACATACGTCCCAAAATGAGATTTCAGCAGACTCAGGGAAATGGAGCGGAAATCATCAACTAGTCAACAGACGTCATAGTTTCATTGATCATGTTGATAGAATTTTAAAATTGTCATCATATATGTTTATTTTTGTCTTTGTTTTCATGAGGTAAACATCAAACTTACCACATTCAATGATGTTTCTGAACTTGACATCACAGAAGTCCCCAATACCATGTACTACAAACACCAGGTGGTCTATCTGTATGGGTTCTCCTGTAGATATAAATCAGGGATGGGGTAATTGAATAAAGTAATTGTAATTGAGTGTAATTAATTACATTTTTCAAAGTAATTGGAAGTAATTTGTATTTGAGAGAGCCTGCAATTACAAGTAATTGAATGTATTTAAATACTTTTCAAAAAGGGTCATGTATTTTCAATTACTTTTCAATTACATTTCAATTACTTTTTTTTCAAAATGAAAGTTTATATTTAAAAAAGTGTCTTATACTCCACATAGTTTTACACTGGTGGGTTTATTACTATTCCCATGTTTTATAAATCTCAGTTCTCCCTATTCCCACTTGCAAATAACAATGATAAATGTTTTGATAGTTAATTTGTTTTACAGCAATTAGACTAACTTCATCCCCTTTTAGATTTACCTGTATTCTATTCATTTTAAGATAGAAAATAATGAATGGAATAGTGATAGATATTATTTATTTCCTTCAAAAATATGGATTTGAGAAAGTAACAAAAAAGATCTTGCCATACACCATACTGGTGTAGCATGGGCTTGTGTTTGTACAATAATTAATTGTCTCATAATGTTTTATTTGTTTATACAGTGTGTCACACTCATTATAAGGTTCTAATTTTCCAGGTGTGAACCCCTATCATACCCAAGAACAAAAACAAATGAAAGTTGCGAAGTAATTGAAATGTATTTAATTACATTTGTCAAAGTAATTGAAAGTAATTAATTACGTTTGAAAAAATCAATGTAATTGTAATTGCAAGTAATTGACAAAATTATCAATGTATTTGAAAGTAATTAATTATATTTCAAAGTAATTGACCCCAAGCCTGATATAAATGATGCAATGTGAAAATGTTTTTAATGTTTTTTTCAATATTATTGAAAATTTGGAGAATGAAAATTAAAATTAAGAGAAAAACCTTTTAAACTTTAAAATTAAATGATTTAAATGTTTATTTTTTGTATCAGTGTTATACGATTTAAAATATAATTACCATCATTAATTGTTTGGAAGTCTTCTATTCCTCTTTTAACAACTCTGGGACGCATGCCTTCTCCCTGCAAAAAGCATTTCAGACAAATGAAAAAATTGCTCAGGCAATAAATGTTTCTATTAATGCAGAAGAAAAGAACAAGGATAATAATATTTAAAAAAATTTCTAGTCTTCATCATTCTCTAATCTTATGGAAATTTTTTATTTCTATAAAAAAAAGTCCTCAAAGCTTAAAGAACAAGATACATTAAAGTTTTTTTCAGGATGAGTCTTAATAGAATTAATGCAAAAGTTCTTTATCAGATACCTGTGATTTAATAAGCAAGATTTAAAATGACATAGGTAAAACATAAATAGAGATTATCAATTTGTTGGATTTCTTAATTTGAAAATTTTACTTTTTATTATTTTTTAAAATTACAATTTGCTGAAATAAACAGACTGCATGCTAGCCCATCTGTCTAAAATTCAAGATTAAATTTATTATGCAGTAGTGTCAAATGTAGGATACATCATCATTTTAAAAACCTTGAAAATACAAATAATATGTGCTTCATGTTTTCTACAGTAAAGAAAATCCACTTGAAAAATTATAATAAATATTTGTAAATACAATTCATCAGACATGAGAATGTGAAAAAAGTTTTTGTTTATCACTTTCCTATGGCCAAAATATGTAAGCGCAAGAAATGAATCCAGTTTATAACAGCATGGAAAACACTACTCAGATTATCAAAGACAAGCTTTAAAACTAGCTTTTAAAATACATATGTAAATTAAATACTGAAAAACATCACGAACATTGAAAATGGAGGACAAATAAGAAACAAAAGGCCCATGGGCCACACCGCTCACCTGAGCACTAAAGGTAGGAAAAAGTAGAAAATGGCTTTTTATTGTAAAGTTTAAATCCAAAAGTAGTCCCATGACCAATCATGGATTTGCTATTTTTTAAAAAATGATTTCTAAAGAATTTTCCTACATATTTCTATATAAAAGTTTGGTCGGCCATTTTGGCCCCGCCCTACCCCTGGGGGTCATGAATTGAACAAAATTGAATCTACACTACTTGAGCCTGCTTCCATATAAATATGATGAATTATGGCTTTGTCATTCTTCAGAAGAAGATGTTTAACGAACATTCCTATATATTTCTATGTAAAATTTTGGTCGGCCATTTTGACCCCGCCCTACCCCTGGGGGTCATGATTTGAACAAACTTGAATCTACACTACCTGAGCATGCTTCCATATAAATATGATGAATTACACACTATATATTTCTATGTAAAACTTTGGTTGGCCATTTTGGCCCCGCCCTACCCCTGGGGGTCATGATTTGAAGAAACTTGAATCTTCACTACCTGAGCATGCTTCCATATAAATATGATGAATTATGGCTTTGACATTCTTGAGAAGAAGATTTTTAAAGAATTTTCCTATATATTTCTATGTAAAACTTCGGTCGGCCATTTTGACCCCGCCCTACCCGGGGGGGGTCATGATTTGAACAAACTTGAATCTGCACTACCTGAGGATGAGTCCACATAATTTTCATCTTTCCTGTCTCAGTGGTTCCTGAGAAGAAGATTTTTAAAGAATTTTCCTATATATTTCTATGTAAAACTTTGGTCGGCCATTTTGGCCCCGCCCTACCCCTGGGGGTCATGATTTGAACAAACTTGAATCTACACTACCTGAGCATGCTTCCATATAAATATGATTAATTATGGCTTTGTCATTCTTGAGAAGAAAATGTTTAACGAACTTTCCTATATATTTCTATGTAAAACTTTGGTCGGCCATTTTGACCCCGCCCTACCCGGGGGGGTCATGATTTGAACAAATTTGAATCTATACTACCTGAGCATGTTTCCATATAAATATGATGAATTATGGCTTTGACATTCTTGAGAAGAAGATTTTTAAAGAATTTTCCTATATATTTCTATGTAAAAGTTTGGTCGGCCATTTTGGCCCCGCCCTACATATTTGAACAAACTTGAATCTACACTACCTGAACATGCTTCCATATAAATATGATGAATTATGGCTTTGTCATTCCTGAGAAGAAGATTTTTAAAGAATTTTCCTATATATTTCTATGTAAAACTTAGGTCGGCCATTTTGGCCCCGCCCTACCCCCGGGGGTAATGATTTGAACAAACTTGAATCTACACTACCTGAGGATGTTTCCCCATAAGTTTCATCTTTCCTGGCACTCTTGAGAAGAAGATTTTTAAAATATGCCACCAAATTTTCATTAATTCCCAAATATCTCCCCTTGAATGAGGGTGTGGCCCTTCATTTGAACAAACTTGAATCCCCTTCACCCAAGGATGCTTTGTGGCAAGTTTGGTTGAAATTGGCCCATACGAAAATGTGAAAAGTTTACAGACGGACAGACAGACAGACGGACGACGGACAAAATGTGATCAGAAAAGCTCACTTGAGCCTTCGGCTCAGATGAGCTAAAAAGGGAATACTGAGTAGAAACTAAATGAGAAACATAAGCTCTGGGTTAAGTAGCACTCAGAATACACACTCACCACTGAAGCAGAGGGAGCCTTTAAAGAGAAAAATGGTTTTCTATGTGTCACATGCCACAGAATAGGTATCTATACATGTATACACATATACAATCTACGATTGATTCTTTCATTATTCTCTTTGTTTTCAAAATTAAACTGATTCAAAAGGCATACAGTGGTTACATCAGGCAAAAAAGAAAAGAATCTACACGTAAATATTAGGATTACAAAATGTTTCTAATCAAACTAGTGAAATTAAATGACAACATATAAACTTACATGCAATTCCTCCCTCTAAAATTGAACCAATTTATTTGTTTGAACATGCAACTATAAATAATATATATCATAATTTATTTCTTTACTATACCGCTGCTACTGGCAAGTGAACATTAGTAGTTACCTGTGTGGATCCCCAATCGTCCGGCTGTGATGAGGCTGTGAAGTGAACGATGACATTTGCATTATGCATGACAATTGTCTCCCCTCCTGGGAATTCTAAGCGTTTATGCCATGTATTGTACTGTAGGGCATTTCGATACTCCTCCTAAAAAATAAAAGATGATTTATAAATGTGACAAATGTTCAAGGCCATAATTATTCTACAAAACTGACAAAGTCATAGAGGCCACCTTTCAAAGGACTTTATTCAGTAATGACCAACATTGCCTCCAAAATCAAACTTTGACCATATTGACTGAGAAATATATAATTATGTTCTAACAGGGGGAAATCTGCAGACTTCAAATCACTGAGTATTTTCATAAGCAATGACGTCATATGTTTGAAAAGATGTCAGGAAAATGAGGTAAATTTAAAATTTCCATGATTCTACAGAAAAAGGTATATATTACGTCAATATTTTGAGTAAAAATCACCGAGCGAAGGTCTGCTCAAGCTGTATATTTTGATAGAATGTGTAGAGTGATAATATCAATGAAATATATAAATATTGTTCTTGAATAGGCCTGCGCTCTATAATTTTTATAGCTAAAATTGTCAAAATTTTGTCCATTTTGTCTTTTTTCTGAAAAATGATATAAAATCTGACTAGTTTGTGACGTCACAAAATTGAAAATCATCAATAACCTACTTTGAAACTATAATATATTTTGTTAGTTTTTATTTCTCATACAATTTATACAATTCAGCATATTTCAAGAAATTTTCAAAATATGACTTTTGTGTGGGCAAAAATATGCAACATGCTACATGAAGTTCTTTATTTATGTTAAAAATCATGATCATCTAATAAACTACCTCTAACTTCTGGGCAAAGTGTTCCTCATAAGGAACATATCTGTTGTCTCCTTCTCTCTTATAGAACCAGGTACATCGTCGGATTGGATTTGGTGATTCTTCCCAGTACACAGCTACTCGCTGTCTGTCAGACAGAACTGCATCATAACGACCGCCTTCTGTTGGTATTGGGTCAGAAGTTTTACCTGAATCAATAATATCACACATATATTTAAAAAGTTTTGTATCGAGTCATTTTTAGCCAGTTGGTCATGCGGGAGACGGCAAACAAACCATTTTTTTTAATATGGTATTTAAGAAACAATATATCAGTGTAAGACAAACATTTTAAAATTAATAACCAGGCCGAGTTAATAAAATCAGTGAAGATCTAACCAGATCTAAGAGCCTCCTCTAGCCTCATGCTGTCCACTAAAGAGAAGGGGTACCAGATGTCTCGATTCTCCACCCTCTTACAGAAACACCAGTGGGGCTGGACAGGAATGTATATGCCGCCGCCTTCTGCAGTGGCTCCAGTCCCTGAGGGAGGGGGGACTGTTGCAGTGAAACTGGGCTTAGGGGGCATTGGGGACTGAGGGTAGGGGGGCTGGTGAGTTTGGTTCATTGTTGGAGGCACCTACAAATATTAAAGATAATTTTAATTGTTTTCTCTATATATCTGGTACTTATAGGCTTTATCTGTCTTCATCTAATTTTTTGCTGCTGTGAAAAATTAGTAAATACATAAACACACAAATTATTCCTACCATTCTTCAATTTATCTTTAAACATGTTAAAATATTGCATTATAATGAAGAAAAAAAGAGTCCATCAAAACTGCGAAAAAATTGTACTTGCAGAAAAAAATATTTATATGTAATCTTTTAAATGGATTCCTTCACAGTAGTCATTTATGTTCATCAATTATATTAAAGCAATCTTACAAACCTGAGCCACTGGAGGAGGGCTGAACATTGAGGGTCCTGAAGATGGTGCCAAGGGGGGCTGACTTTGAAATTGGGGTGGACCACCTACCCCTCCATCAGTGGGGGCATAAGTTCCTTGAGGCATCTGGGCATACTGTACCTTCCTCAAACTTTCTGTTTTTCTGAATGCATTTGCAGAAGAGGGACCTAATTATAAATCAAATAACAGAATCAATTCATAAACTCCATCAAAGCAAAAATTTTGAAAATTCAAAGATCATATTAGGTAACTATGTATTTATCTAAAAACCTTAAATAGTAAACATACATTGCAATATTTTTTTCTAAATATATACACTTAAGGTCAAGATCTAGTAAATGCCTTTATACTAATTTTTTGGTGCTAGATCCATTATGACATCATTATCACTTTCAAGTTTCTTTTTACCGTACTTTACTGCTCTAATAGAATAACAGAATAGAGCATTTTCATGGAATTCAATTTGAAATCACATGAAAAGTAGTCCTGAAACCTATATAAAATCTGACACTATTTAAAAGAATAGGCCAAGAACATACAAATTACTGTTTTCTGACAGATTGTAAGCAATCTGGATACATTTTCTTTGTCTGCCATGGAAAAAACTTCTATATTCATGACTGTTTTCTTAATTTTTCATTGGGAATGACAGTTTAAAATATGATTTTTCGTCTTGTTTACCTTATTTGACCAAGCTAAAGTTATAAAGCATCATTAAAGGAATAGACGAATTTCACATTCCTAAGAGTTATCTCCCGTTGTCGGCGTAATGCTCATTTTTCCCACTTTGTCCTTTGTAAGTTATCTGTTAATATTTTTAAATTTCAAACGTTTTAGGACAATTTAGATCTGTACCTGTATTGCCAGAGTATGGGGCAACATGAAAAACATAATGAGCATATACATATAGATTTTATTTCTAGGATACTGACCCATAGAGTTGGTAAGGTTATAGAGGGAAAATGGTGTCTTACGCTGGTTGACCCCGATTGACCCCGCAAAGGGGAATAACTTTTGTAAATGTGAAAGTCGTCTATTTATTTCTTAAATTTGATAAATCTGTAAGCACCTTTCATTTACTAGATCTTGACCTTAAGTATAATATCATAAATTTAAAAAATCCTTTACTAAAATTTTAATCATCAATCTTCTTGCTATTACCAATTTACCAGTGACATAACAATGTTTTCATTGAATAGATGTACACTTGTTACACATTGTATTATCATACCTGGAGGGGGGCCTGCAGGAGATGGTGACGCAAATGAAGGGGGAGGGATCGGGGCCGCTACATTAGACTGCATCCTTGGAGTTGACTGAGGAGGCAGTGGATTGTGGCCAACATGTGCAAAAGGATCAGATCCTGAGTGGGTGTTCTGAAAATGACTGAATGGGGTGCTGTGGTTAGCACTTTGTGAACTTTGGGGTGGAGTCTGTCCCACAAAACTATCAGCTTCCCCTTCTTCATCTATTGATTTAAAAAGAAATGAAAAATATCATGAAAAGCTTCACACTGTTAAGTATATCAAAATCTTAACTATAACCCAATGATTAAATATGTGCTGACTGCACCTTAATTATGACAGATGACATGTTACATGTATACACACACACACACAGTATAGCATTACAGATGTAATACATTTAAAAATTTAAGGAAAATACTGATTCTTCTTCAAAATCATAAATAAAATTCCTTTCAAAATTGCTGTTGTGTAGTTTATCACATTTCTGAAGCACTCAATTACATTTTCAATTTGAACAATGTATATAAACTGATAAAATGTCAAAGTCTACCCCATATGTTTTAATGATTGTCTTCCAATAGATCTACCACTTACACATCAAAGACAATACCATAGCAATTTGACCACTCTCAGTGAAAGATATTTTGAAAAACGTACATCTCCATCTATCTAATACCAAATTTAAACATCCCGATGTGTCAGTGTCATATGGCAGCCGGTGTTTTGTTCAACTGAAATAAAATGATTGAAAAATCGTACCTGATCCCAGTAATGAAGGCTCAGATTGCACCACTGGCATTAAAACATTGGGTTGTGATGGTGGATTCAATGTAAGTCCCCCTCCTGCAGGCATTAGCAGCAGAGGGGGTGGTGTGGTATCCTTCTTTCCCTTGTCTGCCATCGGAACAACACGTCATTCAAGTAACTCTTTTGTATTTGAAAAACATAAATGGTTACTGGAAAGAGTCTTCGTCGCTTGTGCGTTTAATATCACAGAGAAAAATTAATGCGATTGCAGCTTTCGTTCGACATTGATTAACTACACAGACGACGGTGTCGTACGGATTTTTCCCTGTTCAGACTGATGTCACTTTTGTCATTGTTAAAAGATGGATAATACAGAAAAGAATATCGATAGCTTAAAAGGTGCTGGGGATGCAGCAGCTGAGAAAGAAGTGGAAACAAAACAATCAAGTATCCCCCAAAAGTTTAATTAATTTTAGATGTAACTGACATTTAAACAGTTTTGACAGAAAGAAAAAATCAAATAGATTTTACTATGTTTGAATAAATTGCTTGATGATTAGATAGTGTGTACAAGTGCAACTTTTTACAGCATGTGTGACTTTTCAAGTTTACAGGACATACACACCTATTTGATCTGACTGTTGATAAAAAAAAAACATTTATAGACGTCATTTTAAAAGAATTAATCAGTGTAGTACATCTGAAACCAAATTCCATTAGTAAGTAAGTAAAGTAAATTTTATTAAAAGTCTGCATTTTGTACTCTGCATAACAACTAACATTCTGTAGAGCCCTTAAACCAACTATCACATCTGGCCGAAACCTATGTAAACCATATAAATTTACTGCTGCATTTTCACGAAGTGCTGGTGATCTGTTTTATATCTTTTAGTTTATTACTATAGAGACAGACCCTATTGAATACTTTTTGGTATCTACATATGAGAATCTTTTTCAATATCAAACTCAAGGTGTTGGTCTCCAGTTTTTCATTGTTTTCTTTGTCAATTAACTATCACATTTATGATTACAAAAATCAAATGACTTTATGAGAATTCTAATGAACAGGTTATGAAATTTGATCAGGAAAAAGCATATTAAGAGCCATTCTGTGTAATGACTTGAAATTTTATATAGGAGCTGTGGCACGCATAGTCTCAGAATTTCTCCAAACTCTCTATAAGAAAAGTCATTGATACCCTAAACTGTGACAAAAATTGGTTGCTATGCTCTATAGTTACCATGGCAACATGTCTTAAAGTTCGAAAAATGGCAATTTTTAACATGTTTAGAGCCCCATAGTTAACATTTGCGGCAAAGCAAACTATTGGCGATGACTGTTTCCAAAATTAGAAGGTCAGATGTCTCAAATGCATGATAAACATGTTTGGTAAATCAACTATTACTTACGTTACTATGGTAACAAAAGTATTCAAAAGTAAAAAAAATATTCATTGAATTTTATAAAGTCATACACGTAAAAAATAAAAAGCAATAATAGGATGAAATGTGACCAAATAATAGAAAAAGAGCCTTGAAACATATACCAAGAACAAAATATGATATTTCATTTTGGTTGGCAATGGTTGCCAAGGTTTTTATACCACAGAGAGCCTTCAAAGTAACATTCTGTATGTTTAAATCTGATCCTATCTTTTAAAAAAGCACATTTCCTTATAACTAATGATCAATTTTTAAAGATGTAAGTTTTTATTTGAAAAAATTCAGATTAGAAGTAAGTAGAGCGTTGCTATGGAAATAAGTAGAAAATATATGCTTAAAAACCTTAAAAATATCTTCCTTCCTTGGATACGTACCCTTAAATGTAGATTCCCAAAACTTTTATGATTGATATTTATTAACAGCTTACCTGACTTTTAATTTTGACTATCATCCAATCTCTAAGTGGATGCAAGAAGTTGGCACACAGAGTTTAATATTGATATAAAGTTCACAAAATCGAACATTTTCCCTTCTTGGTAACCATAGCAACAGTGTTGTTTTCTTCATCAAATTTTATCAATATATGATATTCAACTTCAGTTCTAACAGATAACTACTATTCAAACTGAGTCCTTTAATATGTTCCTTGATTATATGGCAATTTAATTCTTAATGCAGCGAAAAATAATTCACTTTTAAGCACTGGTACTTTGTTTCCATGGTAACACTGCAAAGTAATAATTATACCCAATTTTTCTTATGGTTTTGGTGTTGCAAGGTCCTAAGGATGCATATATGCCAGTCTTGAATTTTATAGCATTAACCCAATCTTAGTTACTAGTTTTGCATGGTTACACTGTGTTACCATGGCAACCATAAAAGTTATTTATCGAATAATATTGCTTATACCTATATACTTAAGGTCAAATATTTTCATTGTTTTTCTTGAGTCATTGATTGAGTTTGAGCATATAACACCTATCATTAGTGAATAAGTGTTTTTTTTTTCAGCATTTTAAATGTATTCCAAATGTACCCTTGGTAACCACTTACTTAAAGATATATTCTAAACAGTTTCTTTACAGTATAAGTGACATCAAGGTGTCATGTTTTTGTGAGAATGGTTTGTTTCCTTTTTCTAGTTTTTATTAAGCCACAGTCAAGATTTAAAGTGGCTGAAAACATTTTTCAAACTTTTCCGGCTGTTGCCATAAGACACATAGCAACGAAATTTTGTTTGATATTTGTTTCTGGTGTCAAGTACTAAGCATGGGTGAAGTTTCATCAAAATCGGTGACCATGCGTGGCAACGAAGTTCAAGTGGTTACAGAGAATGGCTATTAAAAACTTTGTTGTTAACACTAACAATTCTTATTATTAATATTACATTCAGGAATGTCTGTAATGAGCTTCATCACCACTGAGCTGACCAGGGGATATCTCCTAGAGAGAGATAAAGCTAAATTCTCAGAAAGAAGACAGAGAGTTTACACATTTATGAAAACTCCTCGAGAACTGGAAAAGGTATTGCATTTCAAATTAGAAATGAAACTTGTTATTTGGATTATTTCTAATGGTTAGTTTTGTAATAGATTTCTGCATATGAAATAAATGTTTCAATTTTTGCTCACTTGTAGCAACAATTTTCTTTAAATGCAGATACTTGATACAGTCAATTCTCGAATTATCGCCATTCGATTCATCGCCATTTTCGCAATACCGCCATGATTTCCTAAGAACGTTTTTCCTGCTATATAAAATTTTCTTTATAACGCCAAATTCGCATACCGCCATCCGCCACCCTGTTTTCACAACAAACGTCCATTTTTAAGTGTCAATTATCTCGATAATACCGCCACAGGTGCGTGTGGTCAGTGAAGCGTGGCTAATTGGTTGACGCTAGCTATCCCTTTGTAAAACATGCAAAGCCAGTCAAGGTACAAGCAATTAAGTAAACAATGATTTTAACATGAACTGTTAGATTAATTTTGTTTTCTGTTTAATAAGATCATTTAGTCAAGGCTTCGCCAGGAAAGCATTCGTTGTAAAGTACGCCGATAAGGCCAAAATAAAATTATAGTTTGTTTGGAATTGCCTCCCGCCTCATTGAAATGCCCCCTCCTGAAAAAATTTTATTGACCAAAAGTAGGAAGATTTTTTTTTATTTAATCAATTTTTTGCCCATTACATTTATCACATGTCAGACCTATGTAAAATTAGGTTTTATTGTTGATGGTAGATACTTCTTTTAAACGTAAGAAAATGTATACGTATTTACTGTTTACTGAGATTTTTATAAAAAATTTAAAATTTATCTTCAATTTAAAAAAAAATAATTTCCCTCCCTCCCTCCTGTGTCTGAAACCCTTCAGGCGGCAATTCCAAACAAACATTTTTTTAAGGATGGCCTAACGATATTATTTTGATGATCTCTGCTTTTAAAAACAATGCAAAGTTTGCTTAAAAATAATTATAAGTCAGAAATTGTGAACGTTTCATTAACAATGATTTCATAAACAATGAATTTATTCAAGAACTTATTTTAAGTACAGTACTATAGGCAATATATCATGACTATCGACCCAGCATTTTTTTTTCAATATCAGACGTGCAGATTTACATTTATACACATATGCATGTACTTGTCTTAATTTCATATCTGAATATATTGTTTTAGCGAAATTGTACATAAAAAAATTACTTGAAGTATTTTCAAATTTAGAAATAGTATATATAGAGCTAAATGGCATTTCTAAGAACGATAACTCTACGTCTTATTTCCTAAAAGATGGAAAATTCAATTCATCGCCAAATCCGTTATACCGCCATGATTTCTAAATTACAAAAGGTGGCGGTTTATCGAGAATTAACTGTAGTCTTCTTTTAAAAAATCTAAGTGTACTGGGAAATTACTAATTTCTTTGTTACCTTATTCTGGTTTGAAACTATATTCCCCAAAAAGTGTCAAAATTTTATGCTGTACATGGTATAATTTTTCTTCACTACTAGAAATGATCATTTTGCATGATGCTATTTTCCCACCCATGTTGAAAAACATGAAACTCTGAGAAAAAAGAGAGAGAGAAAGAAAGCTAAATATACCAGGTTTTACATTTTGGGAAAAACTGTTCACCTGTAGTTGTTAGGTATTATAAGGAATAAGTAACAGTTTAAATTTGTAATACTAGTATTACTAATTAGATTAACTTGAATTATTATTTAATTTTTTTTTTTGCAGTTCATAGTGTATGGCTTTTTCCAGTGTTTAGATGCATTCCTGTTTTATTTCACATTCCTTCCAGTAAGAATTTTGCTAGCATTGCTCAAGATCTTGACTCATCCATGTGGGGTTCTTATTCCCAGGTATGTTGATGATGATCACTATACAATCTGGATGTTTCCAGTTATAATATAGTTAGCTGCAGATCTGCAGCATTATGGTTTTATATATTTGTCTTTGACCATAACGCTACAGATCCCGTAGTGCAAAAAAGGTGCAATTTACGGCACAATATTTTTTGTGCACTTTTGGGAGGATTTCTTCACTTTCCAGCATCTGTCAATTAATTACATTCACTCCCTAATTCTAGGCACATTATTTAACTAATTTATATTTTATCCATCGATCTCCCAACCATTTATATTTGTCTCTACAAGTGATAAACTTGCTTAGTTAAAATTATTTGTGTTAGATTGCTGAAAATTCACTTCAAGCAAGTTTATTGCCTGTAGAGACAACTATAAATGGTTGGAAGGAGGATAAAATATGCATATTGGCTACAGAATGTGTCTAGAATTAGGTAGTGAAAGGTAGTGGATAGACCAATGCTAGAAAGTGGAGAAATTCTACCCAAAAGTGCGCAAAAAATATTGCGCCGTAAATTGCACCTTTTTTGCATTACGGGATCTGTAGCATTATGGTCAAAGACAGATAATAATATAAAACCATAACGCTACAGAACTGCAGCTATAATATAGTGTGATGTGCTTTCCAATTTATAACTATTCTTTTCTCATTTTTTAAAGTGTTGAAATAATTTTCTTTTAATTGAAATAAGGCTCTTTAAATTTTGTCTCTAAGAAACACCATTTTTGTATCGCGTGGTACAAAGCTTGCCAGATTGGACTAATTAAATTTTGTTTTAGATATGAAATTTTGGAGCCTGCACAGATTTGTGACATACTGAAAGGAGTGATTCTAGTGATGTGTTTCCTTATTGTTAATTACATTGACACTTCAATGATGTATCATCTAGTCAGAGGTCAGGCCGTTATCAAGCTTTATGTCTTCTACAACATGCTGGATGTAAGTTTTTGTGGGAATATTTGAATTTGTTTGTTGATCACCACATACTAGTAAACTGTAGATCACTTGATAAATGTTCCTTAAAACTAAATTTTAGCCAAATTATCTATAGCTATTTATTTTTGAAACAAATTACATAATTTGCACCTGCCGAAAAAAAGAAAAACAAAACAATTATACTGTATAATTTTACTAAACTATATATATTATTTTAGGAAAGATTGATAAATTATTGGTCCCTTAAAAATACTTTTACAATACTGATTAATCCTTCAAAATCTTGTCCATTTTGTACAAGTCCTTTTCTTCAAATTAACAGATGGCTGATAAGTTGTTCTCCAGTTTTGGACAGGACATCTTGGATTCCTTATTCTGGACAGCCACTGAGCCAAAGGACAGAAAGAGAGAACACATCGGAGTTCTTCCTCATTTAGTGATGGCTATTATTTATGTTGGTATCCTTAAACAATCAAAGTACTGAATGTACAAGCAATATCAGTTTCAAATTATCCATTATTTCCCTTCATTGTCACCTGTAACATTTTTAGGATGGAGTCTTATTCTGCCCCCCTCTTCCAACCCTCCCGTCTCCTTTAGTCACAGCTCAATGTTCATTCACTATTCAATCACAATGCTCACATCACTCTGATCACTAGTAACTGTTTTGTTCTGCCTTCACATAAAGTTGTCACCATGATGCTGAATTTATCAGATATTTTTTTTTTTTATTTTGACATTAAATGAAAGAATTTTTTTTTAATATATAAAATTAAAATTAACTGTTTTTTTAAAATAATGTATTTTTAATTAATCAATTACAAAAGTCTAAAGAATAATTCTTAAATAAAAATTAGTTCATCATGAAATAATTAAAATAGAAATTTCCTTAATGATTGTATTAGTTATCCATACTCTTCTAATACTGTTCCAAGCCACCGTTCTGTTAGTGGCCTTCAACTCCCACAACAAGGCATTGCTGACAGTCATGATGTCAAATAATGTAAGTATTATTTGTAGTGAATATACCGCATCAACTTAGACACATGGAGGCATCTTAATACATGTATGAATATGTTAATACTTGATACATTGAATGTTCGTGTTAATTGTTTCTAGAGTGAACTGCAAGCTACGCAACTGAATTACAGCAAAACTCGTTTAGTAGTACGAACACGGATATTGTGAATTTACGGATATAGGCGAAGTCATCTTGGATCCCCAGCTATATAAATTGAATGAATTTCTTATACGGTTATAACAATTACGGATATAGCGAAGTAATTTCAAATGTCTCTGTGACTTCGTTATAACCAAGTTTTGCTGTACCCTGTAAAGTAGCAACTCTGTCTAACTTTTAGTTTGTGGAAATAAAAGGCAGCCTGTTTAAGAAGATAGACCGAGGATTCCTCTACCACATTTCCTGTAGTGACGTGAAGGAGAGATTTCTGTATATTGTTTTACTGGGGATAGTCTTCGTCAGAAACATGACCGAGTTTTCATGGGACCCACGTCAGTTTTTATTTGATTTAACTTTTTACCTTATTCTTGGTTTTTTATTTGCAACATAATTTTAATCAATAAATTGAGATTCTCTGTGTAAGAAATGAATTTTTGAAAGTGCAGTTTCATAAACATTGATATCTGAAATATCGTAGATATGTTGAAGGGAGTTAATATGAATTTTGCCCTTGATATCTCAGATCCCAAAATATCTCAAAAGTTTTTTCAGTACTGTGAGTTTTGAGATAACATGTTTGTTCTTCGTTGTGTAACAGTAACTATCTCTCAAGTCTTTATAGTTAAACTTCAGATGTCTGATGAGTATAATTGTCATTTTGTGTCCAAGAAGGGGATAAGAGCTAGATTATCAGCCAGTAGTTTCTTGATGTATTTTAGATAATGATGTGTTTTTCATTTCTATAGAACATGTTTGGGTTATCCTTCCTGATGCTGTACTGGTGTTTGTTGCGGAGATTTTGGTGGACTGGATGAAGCATGCCTTTATTCTAAAGTTCAATGAAATATCTGCAGATGTAAGTTGTTTATCTTCTTTAAAAGACTTTGCACCCCCCCCCCCCTTCCAAAAAAAAAAAAAAGTAAAGGGGTATACTGGATTCCCCACGTTCATCTAGATCATCTTCATTTTTTTTTTACAAGTTATGTTTTTTAGCTCACCTGAGCCGAAGGCTCAAGTGAGCTTTTCTGATCACATTTTGTCCGTCGTCCGTCCGTCCGTAATTTGTCCAATATAACTTTTCACATTTTCGACTTCTTCTCAAGAACCACTGGGCCAATTTTGACCAAACTTGGTACAAATTATCCTTTGGTGAAGAGGAATTAAAATTTTCAAAATAAAGGGCAAAGTCCCCTCACAAGGGGAGATAATCAAGAAAAGACAAAAATAGGGTGGGGTCATTAAAAAATCTTCTTCTCAAGAACCACTGGGCCAGAAAAGCTGAAACTTATATGGAAGCATTCTGGTATAGTGTAGATTTTAAATTGTTCAAATCATGACCCCCGGGGGAAGGGCGGGGCCACAATGGGGAATCAAAGTTTTACATAGAAATATATAGGAAAGATCTTTGAAAATCTTCTTCTCAATAACCACTGGGCCAGAAAAGCTGAAACTTATGTGGAAGCATCCTGGGGTAGTGTAGATTTCTAAATTGTTCAAATCATGACCCCCGGGGGAAGGGCGGGGTTTGGGAATCAAAGTTTTATATATATAGGAAAAATCTTTGAAAATCTTCTTCTCAAGAACCACTGGGCCAGAAAAGCTAAAACTTCTGTGTAAGCATTCTGGGGTAGTGTACATTCTAAATTGTTCAAATCATGACCCCCGGGGGAAGGGCGGGGCCACAATGGGGAATCAAAGTTTTAGAAATATATAGGAAAAATCTTTGAAAATCTTCTTCTCAAGAACCACTGGGAGAGAAAAGCTGAAACTTATGTGGAAGCATTCTGGAGTAGTGTAGATTCTAAACTGTTCAAATCATGACCCCCGGGGGAAGGGTGGGGCCACAATGGGGAATCAAAGTTTTACATAGAAATATAAAAGATAAATCTTTGAAAATCTTCTTCTCAAGAACCACTGGGCCAGAAAAGCTGAAACTTATGTGGAAGCATCCTGGGTTAGTGTAGATTCTAAATTGTTCAAATCCTGACCCCCGGGGGAAGGGCGGGGCCACAATGGGGAATCAAAGTTTTATATAGAAATATATAGGAAAAATCTTTGAAAATCTTCTTCTCAAGAACCACTGGGCCAGAAAAGCTGAAACTTATGTGCACATGGAAAGATCCTGGGGTAGTGTAGATTTCTAAATGTTTAAATTATGATCAATGGGGTAGGGTGGGGATGCATTATGTATTACATTGAGGAAATCTGGTAAAGAACAGAATGGTCAAAGCTTCTCAGGTGAGCGATGTGGCCCATGGGCCTCTTGTTTTAACAATTACATTGTTCACAACTTGTCTCACAAGAATACATGTGAGAGAAGTGAAATTCCTGTCTCAATTTTTCAAACTAACATACATTCAGTTTTGCATGGTATAACATATATTTATTGTGAAATTGTGTATTTGTTCTGAAATGAAATAGTAATTTTAAATAAATGATATCAATGTTTTATAAATATTTGATTGCAATTTCATAATGTCAAGAAATGAATAAATATCTAAAATTGTAATTTTCAGGAACATTAGCTCTGATTCTTACTTTTGTGATAAAATATCAAATTCAATTCCTCGCCACATTCCTTACACCTCAATGATTTCTAAATAACAAAAGGCGGTAGTGTTTATTTCAGAATAGGCTGTAGCTGACAATAATAATTTTTCTTTTGCATTACACAATATTGCATTGAAATAAAAGCCTAGTTTTGGGAGTATCTATTGATGCCTTTGTGCTTTATATCCTTTAGGTTTACCATTCCTTCTCCATCAGACTGGCTGAGGACATGGTGGCCAACAGACAAAGCAGGGTAATAAACTCATACTGTATACACGAAAATTTTGCCCCTGTTTTATATTCGCCCCTTTCGCCCTAATATTGGCTGAGTGAATTTAAAAAGGGATGAATTCAAAGAATACGGTATCATTTCTTGAACAAAACTGTGATTTAGAATTTAAAATGGGGCAAAATTATTTGCATGTTTGAAAGGGTGAAAATAAAGCGGCAAGAAAACAACCGTATATACAGTATACTGACATTAGAAAACTGATATTGGCTTCAGATGATCATTTCTTTCATGCATGTATTTTATTGATATTCCTCTCAAATATGTCAGAGTTTTTGTAGATATGCAAGATTTGCTTGAATTTTATTTTTATTTCCATTTTCAGAAAAATCATCATAATGATTTATCATAGTCAAATAATCTGTACTAAATACTTCCTGTCCATGAAGGAAAGTATGAATGTAATTCTTTCTTTTTGTTATGCTAGGCATTCATAGACTTTTTTATCCTAGGCATTCATAGACTATTCTGACTTGGTATCTAGGAGGATGGGTTTTACTCCTATACCGCTGGCTGTTCTACTACTGAGGATTTGTACAAAATCATTCAAAGTGTCAGGATACACAGGGGCAGGGATCCTGGTTCTACTGTATCTATGGTATGTAGCATTTGTCCTTTGCTTCACCAACTTTCATTCTAATGATTGAAGAATCTATTTGCTGGAGTTCAATCAGTTCATTGATTTTATATTGATCACAAGTCTCTTCAATGACCACAAAAATAAAACAGAAAAATCCAGCTTGATTTGTTTGTTTGTATGTTTGTGTGTTTGTTCCACATATGATTGATAAGTGTCGATATATAATTCTATACAAGTTTGATATGCATTTTGTGGTTTTTTCTGACATACATGTACTATGAAAGCAGTGGTATATAATTGTGAAATCAATTTTATCTGTGATGTCTGTTTCTAGTATCATTTCCATGATACTGGACAGGTCTTCTTGTGATGAATTAGATTATATAATCATTGGATAGCATAAATAACTATTGTACTCATAAAAATATATAGTAAAATGGTGATTTTAGTCAATTTTTGCACTGCAAACTGTAAAGTATGCTAGATTATTTTGCATTTCAACTGTAATTCAGTTTTTGAAACAAAATTATTTTTACCATATAAGTATAATTTTTTAGCGAGAGGCAAAAAAGTTATATTTATTTGTCTTTCAGATTTGGACCTGGTACATGTATATACTGTAAAATCACATATTTTCGAGGGGTAAAATTTTCATGGTTTGAGGAAATATATTGGTTCATGGGGATTTGATTTCGTGGTTGAAAAATTGTTCAGTTGTAAAGTTTGGGAAAAACTGCATTTCATGGTGGACATAAATGGTGGGATTTTTCATACCTTGAAAACCACAGAAATTAAACCCCCACAAAAATTAGTGATTTCACAGTACATCATAAACACAAATTTTCTTTGGGATCAAATTTTGTTTATTAGTTATCTAAAATGGTTTCCTGGGCATTTAATTTTGTTGTTTCAATAGTAAACTTATTCAATATATGGTAATATGAAAATTTTGTGTGGGATTTAATTTCGTTGATAATTGTTTACAATGAAATTTACTCCCCACAGAAAATTTCTGCTTTTACAGTAAATGTAGTGTTAGAGAAGTTATTTTAATTACTTTTTGATGGCAAGAAATATATTTTTAACTTTTGTTGTGGAATGAATTGTTAGAGATATTCAATTTTTTCGATGAATTCTGCATCTATGGTATTTTACTGAACTAAAGGGTTGTTGAACCTTAAAGAATATTTATGCTGCTAATGAATGTATAAATAATAATGATCTTCATGATTATTAATACATTAGAATATTAAAACAAGCAGTAATTTTTCCTAATGAATAAGACATCTTCCAATGATATATTACATATTAACGTAATCACGTTTTTCGTCACGTTTTGCAGTTTGATGACGTTTAAGGTGTTCATCAGCATTGTTTTATTGGGTAAGGCCTACACACTCATAGAGGAGAAAGAAAAGATGGAAACGGAAGAAAAACAAAAGTTTTACAAACATCACTATACTATAGACCAACATTCCCTTGATAAATTTGACCAAGTGTATCAAAAGGCCTCCATAGGCAGTAAGAAATCGAAAGCTCCACTGTGTTTGGAGTCTAACTTATCTCATTCAATTCCCAATATACACGAAAAATGTGCCGAGTCTGAGCTAAGAAAATGTGATTCTGTGATGGAGTTGCCTCTATCACGACGCAAGAAAATAGACCTTCACTCAGACATTTTAGAGGAAAAACAGGAAAGTAGTTCAAATAGTAATTCCAGTATGAAAGAAAGTGATCTCTCTACACTGTCAAAACAGGAGGAGGGAAATCGGGAGTTAGGAGTAGAAGAGGTGTTAGAACACAGCATGGATCAAAGTGTTAGAAGGAGGATAAAAACGGGAGAGCAAGTCTCCTCCACAGATAAAGGCTGTAGTCCTTCCCGAGAGAGATTAATCAGCACAGAGAGCACTGTGTGACCCCCCTAACTTTTCTCTGTTCATCCTTAAATTATTGTCAAGGCCTATTTTCCCAGCAAGGCTGTGGAAACAGTTTGAGTACATTTGTCTTTGCTTGTGGAACATTATGGTATAATTTGGTGCTATTTGTCTTGTAAGAATTATGTGTCATAAGAAATCCATGTTACATGTTCCATTTATTTTGCCTGAAGGAGATGTGCATCTGATCAGTGTGTCTTTATCTGCTAAACATTACAAAATTTGGTCACATACATAAAGAAATCAGTGAATTTATCCCCTGCATCTGTCATTGTTCCAACTTTGTCAGAACTATACTCATATAAAGAAACATAGCAGCCCATACTTTGCTCAAAATGAAGCATATAATCAGATTTTGTGTGTTGACTTTAATTTGAAGCTAAATGAATATACATTGTAGAATAAGGTCACATGGTTAAAAGTGAAAATTCATTTGGTAACAGTTCTCAAATTGGCACTAGTGTATATAGCAGTCAGTCAGGTTTGATTGTAGGTGATCAATACTTCTGTTGATAGAACACCTTTAATTCATTTCATGGAGCCCAGGTGGGGCCCGTTTTATGAAAGAACTTACGACTAAGACCAAAATTTAATTCTGCTTAGAACTTTTATTTTACATTAAATTTAAAAATGGGTTTAATATTTTGAAAAAGAGTTGAATAAGATGTGCTAGCAATTTTGAAATAATAATTAATTTTACAAACTTTTACAATCAACCTAAGCGTTTGGTTTTAGTCATAAGTTCTTTTTTAAGACAGACCCCATTGGTTTAAAAACTTTCAGACACTTTGCTTCAATGAATTTACAAACTAATGACATCATTTTTTTTCACTGTCAATTTTCATCTTATGTTTTAAAAATATGCATGTACGTAGTAAACAGGCTTTAATTGTCTTTTTTCTATGTAAAAGGTGATGTAACAAACACTTATCAATCTCGTAAGTTCATTAAACAAAACAATTCCTGAACAGGGCAAAACCACCACCTCCTGGAAACGTCACTTGTTGTAACGTGTTTTATTTTTAATTTTGATGTGAAATGCATAATACAGTGGCAGACATACAAGCTCGACCTTTAGAATTGTGAGAGACATGACAAATATTATTAACAGTACCATCAGTAAATTAATTGTTATTGTTCAAAGAAAATGAACTATTTATACATTCACAATTTCATTTAGCTTTCAGATCTATTTATCTAAACATGAATATGATGATTTGAGAATTTTTTTTTGTTTTATGGTGAATTCATTGTAAGAAAGTCTTTATTTCTATCTATATGTAAAAGGTTCAAGTCATATGATGTGAGTAAAGTTTTTTTAAGACATAAAAATACAGTTATGATGGTATTACCAACTGAATATCTCATTAAAGTTGCCCAGTGACTGGCTGGCTCAATACATCATTGTTCTAGTCGTTGTTAAGCTTTGTTTTTGAATTTTTTGGCCAATGTTAATGGCCCAGTCAAGTTTGTCTTTTAAGTTTTTTCCCCTCTTTTAGCTCTATTAGAGTTTATAAGAGTTTATTAAAAATTGAACTAGTACTTATATATTGTCCATATTTCAGTATTCTATTCTAATTTGGTCTAACTTCAATGGCAGATGAGTGGTCTACACTAAAAACAATTATTTTTACATGCTATTTTTTGTTTCAAAGGAAAAAAGAAAGGGCTTGGTTCACTTCATTACCGGCCGCCATGATATGAAAGTTTTAAGTCGCCGTGCGTTTCTGCGGAGTTAGAACAATTTAGATAAAAGATATTTAATAACATTCATATAATAGAATATTAAAAAAGAGTGTTTTTAAATGTTTATGAAAAACGCACAATAATCATAAAATAATTTTTTTTTATAAATAATGGGGAAAATGTTTCATCCAATCCTTGACAAACTCTGACATGACTGAAGTGCGGAGAAAATAAGCACACGTGTTGGGCAGAGATGTGGAGATAACGAACAATATTCAATCTTAAAGCAAAGACCGCGTATAAAAAATTTTACTTTCTCTATTTAAACAGTATTTGTTGTATATATTTAAAAATGACGTGTAAATATTACACTGTATATATACACTGTACATTTGATTTTTAAAAAAATATATGACTAAATATTAATTTATTATCAGACAGAATATTAGGATAGACTAGGATGAAGCGCTGTGGCACCGCACTTTGAAAAAATTACGCACTTTGAAAATTTTTTTCAAAGTGCGTTAAAATTGGGACAAAATCAACGCACTTTGAAAATATATTTCAAAGTGCGTTAATTTTGGGACACACTCAACGCACTTTGAAAAAATTTTCAAAGTGCGTTAAGAGTGTACATTAACATTTTTTACCATGGGGACACTTAATGCACTGTGAAAAAAAAATATATATAAAACAAAAACTCTAGACTTCGATTTTAGTAATTGAGAGAATCAATTTGTATTAATTATATCTTTCGAAAAACTTTTTAATTTAAATGTACTTATTTAACCTCATTGGGAACAAGGAGAAGATAAGTAGAATGTCTCTCAGCCCAACTCATTTTTTCTTATACATTGTACATAGCCGTCGGTAGCTAATTAAAAGTGGACCCATTCCTAAAGGTAAGCCCCAATTTTCAACCTATAGAATATATATCTTTGCAAAACATTTGTATGCCTAAGACTCCCCTCCCGGTACGGTGGCGATGCCTTTGTTACCACCAAATATATGTATTTGCATAACTGAAAACTTTCAATAAATTTCATTTTACATAAAAAATGCATGCAAAATGGAAAAATTAAGTACAGTAAAACATTTAAGAGAGAAAGAATTTTCAAAGTATTGAAAAATCAAAATCGCTCACTTTCACATCCTGAAGTGACCTCATCAGCGAAGAGTTATCAAACAGGTTCAATTAATTATGTATCATACCTAAGATTTGCAAGAATATTGACCAAGCCATACACATATTTTCGAAGTGCGTTAATATGGTCGATATTAACGCACTTTGAAATGAAATTTTATTTTTTCAAAGTGCGTTGATTTGGTCCCAAAATTAATGCACTTTGAAAAATGTCACAGGGTGACAATTACTTGTTTTTATTTTATTTCAAGTATATTTAGTTCATTCAAGATAAGTACAGCTATCTTATTTACTACATAAATACCTAGGCTAGCTGTACTAATCTTGAATGAACTAAATATACTAAATAAAATAAAAACAAGTAATTGTCACCCTGTGACACTTATAGATAATGAATCACCAAAGGTCTAAATGATATTCAATGCATTGTAAACTAAAACCAAGCAGTTTCAGTTTTTCAGATAGTCACAGGGCCATAAAAGGCAATAAGTGAACATTGCTCTTTAAATTTTCTCCCAAAATACTATTCCTCGTTTTTTCATGTTTTTGTTCTATTTTCAAGAGCACATACCAATATGTACTGCATCACTTTGTAGAACAATGTCGAGCTAGTTTAGAAAGATAGACTATTAATGTATGAATTCTCTCATGTCACTGAAATCTGATATACAAGTATATAAGCTTGCGAGTGCATATGTACAGCCAACAATATTCACCACTTTCACCGTTCACTTATTAGTAATTACTTATTATAAAGCTAAAACTTCTCCCATTGATTTATATTAATTAGTTCAATATATCTCAATTAGCATCATTCCAGCTACCCTACCAAGCGATATGGTTTGCTTATTGAGGTTTCATATGGATTTCTTAAGCGGTGTCTAATGGTGTCATTTTGAACTCATAAACCACTAATTTTTAGCTCACCTCAACGAAGTTGGGGGGAGCTTATGTGATACCCTCGGAGTCGGCGTCGGCGTCCCGGGTTAAGGTTAAGTTTTTTGGTGCAGTTTTCTTTTTAAGTACTTCTATGTCCTATATTGATTAGACATGCATGGAAGATATTCTAATGTGTTTCATTGTACCATCAAAGTTTCAGATGCTGCAATTTCAGCAAAGGAATGACCAGGTTAATGTTTTTGGTGCAGGTTAACATTTTTGGTGCAGTTTTTGGTGTAGGTCTCATTTCCGAGTAACTATAAGCCTTATGTTGACCAAACTTACATGGATGGTACATCTTAGGATGTATACTACCAGACTTGCTTCGGATGCTGAATCTGACCTACATTTTCCGGTTGAGTGAACAGGTTCAAGTTTTTGGTGCAGGTTTCATTTCGAAGATACTATTAGCCCTATAATGACCAAACTTGCATGGATGGTACATCTTAGGATGCATACTACCAGTCTTGCTTCGGATGCTGAATCTGATCTACATTTTCCGGTTGAGTGAACAGGTTAAAGTTTTTGGTGCAGGTTTCATTTCCAAGTTTCTATGAGACATATAATGACCAAACTTGCATGGATGGTACATCTTAGGATGCATACTACCAGTCTTGCTTCAGATGCTGAATCTGACCTACATTTTCCGGTTGAGTGAACAGGTTAAAGTTTTTGGTGCAGGTTTCATTTCCAAGTTACTATGAGACATATAATGACCAAACTTGCATGGATGGTACATCTTAGGATGCATATTACAAGATATATGCTGAATCTGACCTACATTTTAAAAAGTGAACAGGTTAAAATTTTTGGTGCAGGTTTCATTTCCAAGGTACTGTGAACCCTATAATGACTAAACTTGCCTGGATGGTACATCTTAGGGTGCATACTACCAGACTTGCTTCGGATGCTGAATCTGACCTACATTTTCTGGACGAGTAAACAGGTTAAAGTTTAATTTATGGTGCAGAAATCATTTCCAAGTAACTTTGAAATCTTTAATGACCAAACTTGCATGGATGGTACATCTAAGGGTGCATTCTACTAGGCTGGCTTCAGAAGCTGAATCTGACCTACATTTTCCGGATTAGTGAAAAGGTCAGTTTTTTATACAGGTTTCATTTCCAAGTTACTTTGACCCCTATAATGACCAAACTTGCATGGATGGTACATCTTAGGATGCACACTAATGGACTTGCTTAGATGCTGAATTGACATATTTTCCAATAATATACCTCGTAAAAGTTATGGGTGCAGGTCTATCACCAAGAAACTATAAGGTATATAAACCAAAGTTGCACAAATGATGCATCGAGGGATGAAAACTCTCAATCTTGCTTCAGATGCTGGATTTTAATTACATTTTCATGATGAAGAACTAGTTTTAAGTTTTTATATAGGTCTATTCCAAAGTATCAAAATTGCATAAATTTTGCATTTTTGGATGTACACTTTTTGTTGGTTAATTGTGTGACTTAATTTGCCTTACTTAAAGACAACATTCGTTGAGGTGAGCTCTGTAATCTCTGATTACCTATGTTTAAAGATATGAAGTTCTTAATGTCATGGGATATATTCCTTAGATTATAATAAAGATATCCCACTCTTCATAATTTAAGGGGGTTTATCCCATTTAAACAAATTTGTTGAAGAAAAAATCCCAGTGGGAGAAAATATCCCATCTGTCACTTTCTTCCATGGGAAAAAAGTAGGATAGTTGTTAGGACTAAAAATCGCACCATTCCCCCATGGGATTCTGGCTCTCAGGACTTCGTACATGCATGAAATATATGGAAATAAAGAACAGTATTCAAGCTCAAAAGTCCTTTAAACAGTACAAAATAGGAGCAGAGCTAAAACGGACCTCCAATACATCAGAGCTGGGATCAGGTCCAATGGAGGAGTGAGCATCCCTTGCCGACCAGTCATATCCATCGTGTGCTCCTTGTCATGATTGAAATCTGCTTTTTTTTTAAAGAAAAAAAAAAGAGATGTTTCTGAGCTTATGACGTCGCTATACTACCAAGAAAACCCATCAAGTGCTTAATGTATAATTTATATTTTCGAAATCACAATTAGAAATGGTATTAAAATGTCTGGACACTGTCGTGTCTGGAGTTAATTTTACACTGTTCTATGATGACCTTTGTTCTTCTGCTCGATAGAGTCGGTTTCTCTAATAACTTTCCTATTTTGGCACCAGAATCATTAAAATTTTCATGAAAGTTAATCAGCTTATTATCTCTTTAGCACCTCTAACAACCTAGCGTGATAAACTCGTCAATTTTCCAAACCTTTTCATCAAACATGATAACCTTCATGTGGTATTCAAGTAATTTATCAGAAATATGATCAAGGTTTTTAATTAAAAAGTAATTTCAATAAATTATTATTTATCAAAACTAAATATGAAGATAATGAATTGCCATTCTTCGATAATGACAACGAAGAACTTTATTATCATAAATTTTAAAATAACTCGTAAAACAGCAAAAAGAAGATACTAGTACACAATATGCAGTAATGTACATAGAGATACAATAAAGCAAGTTTAAGGGTATTCCATGCCTGAAAAGGGGGATAGCACTGAGTATTTAATCAAGAGAGCTGACTCTATTTAATTTATATTTGTAAAATTAATTA